GGGGGGGGGGGGGGGGGGGGAATCTGGTTAAAACTGCGACAGACACTGAATAAAAAGCTTGAGATAGAAGGAAAGATTGGCACAAAAGGAGAAATACTAAGAAACGAAGTTAGGGAATATTTTAATAATATATGAATTAATGATGAATTAAATTTAAAGGAAATTCCATTTTTTAGAACTTTGACCTACTTTAGCTGCCTGGTTATATGGACACAGTTTTTATGAATTCCTGCAGTTTGACCATTTGTTTTTCACACGTAGCTATTTCTATAAGCCGGGACACGAACAATCAGTAACATTATTGATCCATCATTAAGCTTGAACCTTTGTTACTAGCTCGTTATTAGCCCTTGTTACACCGTAGCAGTTCATAGTAAAATTCAAACACAAATTGCACAAATGGCAATCACAAATATTGGTCATGAAAACTAAATTAGTTGTAATATCTACACGTATCTTGTGTCTTTCTACTGTCGCACAGCTTTGTTTACAGTGGCTCATGAATAACTGCTGTCTTGGTAGCTCGAATGTATTAACCATGTCTTGTGTTGAATGATACATTGTTTCCTATACACACCACAACAGAATGAACAGGCTTCCATTTGATTATTTTTTTTTTTTTAAATCTCAGTAGGTTTCATTGTCCTCCTTTCCGTGCGCTTTTGTCTTCTCCGCTCAAAAACATAAATGCAACCACAAAATCACTGTGGAGCACTTTGCTGCTCGTTTCCCCAGCTGTTTCATTTTGCACAGCCACTAAAACAACAACAGAAAGGCCAGAAAAGCGAGCTTTAGGTGTCAATGAAAACCAAGTATTGAAAAGGCCCTCAGTAAAGCCTTTAGTATGTGTAAGGTTTCATTTAGGATTAATTTACTTGGCCCCTGAAGGGCATATGAGGTTATTGCAGCAGGGAAAACTAATATAAATATACCAATACAGCAGATTAAGTAATAACATCCTCAAAATGCTTCCCCTCCTTGACCTGCCTGGACCACTCAGGCCTGATGTAAACAACAAAGTCACATTTCCAAGATCAAACAAATGGTTGTTATCCATCATGATGCCACTTTAATACCAGTCAAACTCGTAACAAAAGAGCGTAAAGGATATTTGTATGAAAAATGACGAAGAAAAACAAAATACAGACCTGGGACAAATTGTTTGGTACCAAGGGAGGAGATGCCAGCAGGGAGTGTGCATGCCTGAGTGATTGAGGTTGAGAATTAATGAAGGTCTGTGCGTGGCAGACTGGCATTCAAAGTGATGTTTTTCCACTCCAGATCTGTAAATGCCAGCCTTTATATAATGAGGCCAAGCTAAACATGCACATACATAACACTCACACGCTGCAGATAGAGTATCAACTCAGCAAATTACTGCAGTCACCACAAATATTTGCTCAGGTATACACTGCACTTAGTATCAGTTCAGATCTACACAACCTTTCAATTTTGTGTGATTGCAAGTCATAGTTTACTAGCTTCTATCTCATCTTTTAAGTTATTGATACAAATGGTTGTTCTATACCTATAGACCTAACCTTTTCCTTTTCGATTTTTTTTCGACACTTTAATTAATACATATAGGTTATAAACCTGTGACATTATGACTTCTACAACTACTCGTTGACTTGACTGAACACGGTACTCTGTGTGTCTCAGTGATTACGTATTGTTCCAAAATCCATAACCTTCCAGTCACTTGTTCTCTTCACTTGGTCTTTGTGAAGTTAAGGCTGGAAGCACAGGGCAATGTCGAATTTTCTGTAGTCAGTGAATCAATCTTATGGACGGGCAAATCAAGACAGTGAGCAGAGAGCAGCCCAATTTTGAGTAAATCAACTGATTTTTAGAGACCAGCAGCAGTAGTAATTTTCCACATTAGAGGGGCTCTTTTTTTCAATGATTATATCAAAAATGTTTCTAAATGAAGTTTGAGAGTAAAGTCTGTCTGTATTTTATGTTCTTAAAATCCTTAACAGCTTCTCTGTCTATTGTGGAAGTAGATTCGCTGATACAGAGTAATATTATTTTGATTGTGATAATAAACTTTCAGAAAAATAAAACACTCTGTAGCAGCTTTATACTGTGTGCCAAAGTCTCCACAGCCTAGTGTCTGCAGGATCCCTAACCTTGTATGGTCATGTTATTGTGATACTGTTGACTCTACTGTAAATGGTGTCGCTTAAATCACATTAATCCAGACAATGCAGACACACGGTATGTCAGGTTGTGCAGTGTGCAGATACTGTAAGCCAGACAACAGTGTGCTTTAATATTTTATGTGATGTCTGTGTTTGCAGTGTCAGGCGTGCAGTATGGGCGCTTGGGGTCGAATGTGACACTGGCATGTGGGAAGTCACCAACCGGGTAAGGAGAGAAAACTATTGCCTGTGTAACTTGAATTTTTTTCTTTCTTCTATTGACGAAAAGAGAGCTCCAGTACAGTCATACAGTAGTTTGAACGATTTTTGTCAGTGATCTAAAAGATCAGTATAGAAGCTACATTTATTACATTTGTACATTCATCATAAAAGTTTTCTTTTTGAAAGAAAATGTTTAATTATGGATGTCCCGATTGAGTTTTTTAAACCCCAGATCAAATCCGAGTCATTTAATATCGATTGTCTGCACATACAGAGTCCTAATCAGATATTTAATACAGTGCCTAGTGCACACAGGTTATTAAAATCAATCCAATGTATATACTTGCCAATTAAATAGCTCTGCATTGCATTAAGAAACAAATGCCTGCATCACGTTACTTAATGTTTATATTTTTTACACAATAACGTATAAAACAGCCTAACAAACCCTTTGTAATCTTTTTGGTCTTGTTGCTGTCTAAAGGAGTTTCTCTCTCCAGAGTTACCTGAATAAACTGTATTTAAAGTGTTTATTCCCATTGTCTCTACATTTTTTGCGCAGATTACATTACATACTATGAATTACTCTTATTGGCTTCTGTTCACGGGGCATTGTTGCAACTTGGCTGTGGCTGTGTCGGATATCTAGCGCTGCCGCTCTCCTTCGAGCAGAGTGGGCTGGCTTCGCTCTCTCTCTCACACACACCACACACGAACACAGCGCAGCGACAGACAACACAACACACAGACGCACACACAAACACCAACACACACATCAGAGAATGGAGGAAAGAGAGTTAACGAACAGCTGTATGGACAGTGGACGTAAAGCAAAAAGATTGGATTTAGCTCAATTAAGCTCAAAAGGTAACTAATACGATCATGTTAAAAAATGCCTTGATAGATTCAGGACATCCTTAGTTTTAATGGTGGTTTGAGGCGCACTTTGACCCAACAGTAGCGATAAGGAGTTGGCGGGGTATACAAATGGAATTGAAAAATTGAATTGAATAACTTATTGTGATACAAAGGGTGGAACAGTGCCTCAGTCAGTGTATTCTAAACACAGTTCAACTTTATTAGTACAGGAAGGGAACATCAGCTAACTATAAAAACAAATATGATGCTGTATGTAAAATTGAAGTGTATTGTCAACAAATCCTATGAAAAGACAAACCCAACATATGACTGATCCCAATAATGGGTATTGTGTGTGTAGCCCAAGAGTGATATATCTTACTATGCCATAACCTTCCATTGTTGGCCAAAACAATATGGGATTTATTGACAGTAATAAAGTAAAATGAATAATGCCATACGTATCATTTAAATGAATGTTGTGATAGAGCGAAGTCCTCACCAGCATAATAACTAACCTCTAACATGTTCCTGATCAGGATACCTGTGGTGTGGCATCTCAACCTCAGCTCAGCGTTGCCATGGCACAAAGTGACATCAGATGGGAGCTTAGTCCTGCTGCACGTCGACCACTCAGCACAGGGCAACTACAGCTGCTATGACAACCGGGGGCTCCTCCTCCACTCCGTCAAGCTCCGCCTGGGCTGTAAGTGTTGTTGCGACTTGTCCGGGCTCACAGCGCTTAATTTAGAAGTTATTACACTTTTAACAGCTCTGCCATACTTTGAGTCTCTCAACATGGGACTGCGGCTTTAAAAAAGACTCTTTTGCAGCAGGAACATGCCAGTGTCCCCTGTGTTTCAGTCCCATCCATGCAGGGACACATCTCTATCCCTCACAGTTCAGCTCATTCTTTGGATAATTCAGCATAAAAGGAGCTTCTGTTTCTCCTACTCAGACATTCTCATCTCTCTCGAGTTTCAACATATTTTCCTCTTTGTTTCTTTCTCATCTCTCTATTTCTGTCTCCCTTTTTTAATGAATGAGTTTCTTCTCTCTGAGTTATAACAAGACATCTTAGTACAACAATGATAATCAGAATAGCACTACTGGTCTTCAGAGGAAACGGGTCTTATCGGCTGTGACACAGACATAGCCCTTCACTTCCTGTAAATGTCTCAACCAGGAAGCGATCCCTAAGTGGGCTTCCTTCTGAGGGACAGGGAGTTTTCCATGGTACTGGCCAAGCCTCTCCAGAAATATTTTGGTTCATGTTAGGGACACCAGGACCACAGAGCTGTTCGTTTTAGACTCAAGGACAAGACAGAGACGCCTTGAAAATATTACATTTAATAGGGTCCTTACAAAAAAATCCTCCCTGTCTGTCATGTAAATAAATATGTCTGACTCCTGTTCCCAGATCCCCCTGGGCTGCTGAGCATTTCCTGTCAAGTGCCCAATCACACACATGTTCGCTGCTCCTGGGTGGAATCGGTAAAGACATTCCTGCCAGCCAAGTACAATGCCTCCTTCAGGTAAGTTTGGGTTACTGCAAGTGAAACCGTAACGCCCAAGGTCACATACAGAATGGGCTATGAAGAAGCTAAATATAGTGCATGTGCCACAGAGTGACATTTTGAATGTAGTGTGTAACGTGCGAGTCCGTATCCCAATGTGAACCGTGTCTACTCTTCCCTGCTTCCTCTCAGCCCTGGAAACTTATAACCATAACACATTACAGCAGTGGTTCTCAAACTGCTCAAACTTTTCTGCAGTTCAGCAGCACACAATTAAGTTGTCTGTTACCCAACAGAATGCAACACTTGACCATGTTTTGTCATTTTCTAAAGGGGGATTGGCCAGGACTGGAGGCCATGCATTCTAAACGTCGCCCGCAGGCACTGTGACGTCTATCACCCTGCTTTCTGGCAGCCCATCCATACCCTGAGAATCATCGAGACCAATGGCCTGGGGTCCGAGACAACATATGTCCAGTTTAAGTTACATGTACTATGTAAGATCACATAAAAGTTATTAAAATTGATTTTTTTTCTTTTAGTGACACATTTGTATGATGATTGTATGTCTATAAATCACATTAGTGACATTTTTTTTTCTTGTTTCAAATGTGCTCCTCACCCAATACTGACACAGGCTATAACAAAAACTACTGTTGTGATTGGCTGGCAAAATTGCTGACGTTCTCTATTATTATTATTTTTTAAATCAAATCTTGCACTTCAGCAGTACTAGATCCATGCTTTAAAAGCACCTCCATTGACTGCTTTTATTCCTTTTTCTAAAATAATGTCCTTATAGAAAGAAGTAAAAGAAGCATTCACTTTTCCAAATTTCATTGTGCACACAGGTTTTCACATGTACATGAATTTATTAGACACTCAACTCATCAATGAATGCACACAAAGATGGAAGCTCTAACATGCAGGCGTAAAGACACACACCCACAGATACACACACACACACACACAATGTCATACCTTCTATGAACATAATTCTTCCAGACTGCTGTTGTAACTGTGCCCTTTCGGTCCTCATATAATGACCTCAATTATCTTGTTTTGCTGCTTCTCTGTCCGAATGACGCTCTTGTCGCTCTCGAGCAGAGCCATTCATAGCATCCTTCAGAGCTACTGAATGTTCCTCACTTGTTTTTTTCAACCTCTGATTTCTTTTCACAGTGGTTATAAATGTGCTTAAAACATAGATAAAGAGGGATTCAGAGAATTAGTGGTTAGTTCTATTCACAGCAAGGTGATATAGGCATAGAAAAATGGTAATTTGAGGAAGCACTTTTTGAAGTTTAACTATATATTCCTCAGAGCTGCCAAGATGTGGCTACACAAGGTGACTCATCAGATAAGAGACAGCATTAATAAAAAAAAACACTCTAAACAGTGTTCATTTTACCAGCTATTTCAGATTTTTACCTTTTATGAAGAATTCCCTTGAAATCTCTTTCCCGAGGGACACCTGGCCAAGACAGCACACCAGTTACAATTAAAATAGAAATTAATAGACACAGTTGGTAAAAAATGACTATGGACCAACACATTTTGTTCACAAGATGTGAAGAATGCATTGTTTGTGTGTGTGTGTGTCTGTGTGAGAGAAGAAAAACAGAGTGTTGTAATGAAAGGTTACTGGTTTTTATATTTTATTTAACTTGTTGGGAACAATTTGCCTGTTTTTTTTAGACTAAATCTTCCCACTGCCACTACAAGAGAGCCCTGACATTTGTACTATCATAATATATAAAGTTGGCGGCTAGCGGGTCACTTACTTATTGGAGGAAAATATCCACTAATACCACTAATATATATATAATAAGGAATAATAAGTCCCGTCCTGTCGTCTCGTCAAGGAAAACAAAACCTAGGTTTCCTCACGGTTATTATTGTCAAAGATCTATCTTTACCTTGTCATTGTCTCTTCCTCGTCATGGGAAAAAGGTTGTTGGCAAATTTTTTTATCATAGTTTTCGTTAACAAAATTAACTCTGATTCTAAAAGCAAGCCAGTTTAAGAAATTGAGCATTTACCCGTATATCCGAACAGGTCCTTTGGTTTTCTGCCTACATTGTGTCTTTTAAATAGTATGCCAACCATAGTGGAAATAATTGTGGCTAAATCTCACATTCTTTCTTTGCAGTGAAGCCAGACCCTCCAGAGTCGGTGTTGGTGAACGAGCTAGAAGGCTATTCAAAGAGGCTGATCGTCTCATGGAACATTCCCTCCTCCTGGCCGGTGCATGATGCTTTCCCCCTTGTGTTTCATATCAGATACAGGCCACTGGGCTCTATGTACTGGTCAGAGGTCAGTAAGCTAGGCTAAAGATTTCATTTCAGTATTGATGGGGGTGCAATACAACTGTAGTTTCCTACATTTTACGTCAAACTGAATCATTTGTTTTTCTTATTGTTACTATTACAAGTCAAACATAAACAACACTGGTGGTTATTTTTGTAACCTAAGCCAATCAAAGCAAATATTACTAAAAGCAAGAAAGAACTAAAAATATGGGGTTGAAGCAAAAATCATCGTGTCAAATGATTTCTTTTTCTAATATTGAAGGACACTTTGGAGACATTGTCTCCACCAGAAACCATTCCTCATGAGGATCATGAAGTACTTACATTTAAAGTGTGGTCCTCAGCCAATATATTTCATTTGTTCTGTTGACTTCTCATCAAATAAAGTGAAGTTTTTACTGGTCTTCAAATATAGTCCCAACATAGGAAATAAAAAGCAATAAGAATGTCAGTAAACACAACAGTTGTGCTTTCCTTTTCAACGCAAATCTGGCATGTAACAGATGAGTGGTCATCTAATTTCAGTCTTCTTTCAATAGGGGTTTCACTGACCTTTTTGGCTGGTGTGTTACTAACACACATTTAAGCCAAAAACAATTTGAAAAAAATGCAGTTCCACAGAGCTGTTTCCTTATTTGAACTTTCTTTATTCATACCACCATCACAACATCAGCTGTTCTGCCTGTTCACTGCTACTTTCCTGTGCTCTCATTCCCCTTCCTCTCTCTTTCTCCATCAATCAGATTTTCTCTCAGGAGAGTCCAGTCGTGATATTTGACGCACTGGCTGGCCACCTCCACCAGGTTCAGGTTCGAGCCCGAGACGAGTTGAACTCTGACAGCCAGTGGAGTGAATGGAGTCCCCTGCTTCTCGTCCGGCCCTGGGAAGGTCAATACATCAATTATTAGTCAAGCCACTTTATTTTTTGAACAGGCGAGATAAAGGTGACTGACGCCTACATAGAGAAAGTTGTCACTACTAAAATCGTCAAATTCTTGTATCTGGCACTATCACCTTAGATTAGTAGTAGCCTTTAACCTATTAAGAGACTTTGTGCTTTGTGCACAGTCACTGTTACTCACTTCTGTGTACATGTGTGTTTGTTTGTACTGCAGTCTACACCACCCCTCAACCTGAAGAGGAGCTAGAGGACTATTTTGTTCCATTCATCACAAAACCTGAAACCTCTACGGCAAAGTCACACAGTAAGACTCCTATGTAACTTCAAATGATAATCACTTTGTTATTGTATTCAGGAGCTGTATGTGTATGTATGTACATGTTGTAGCTCAGCAGTAGTACAATAACAGTCATTACTGTTACTATGAGTCTAATACTTCTTCCACTGTTCTTACGGCTCCAATTACCAAAGCTGCTGCTGTTACAATTACTACTACTGCTAAACATATAGATACTCTACTACTGTTATTACTGCAATTATTACTGCTATGGTTAGGACATCCAACTACATTGCTATTATTGAGAGTATCACTATTACCACAACTAATACTTTTACTTCTGCTAGCATTAGAGCATGTCAGTCCCTGAAATGAACTGCTCCAGAGTCACCCACTAAAGCATGTCATTATATTAAACCAAAACATCCATTATCTCATTGAGGTGATATTATTAACACAGTCAAGTTGATCAAAGGTTAAATCAGTTGTGAGACGAGACAGTTCTTTGCTTGTTTACGATCATGGCAGTGTACATCCTTAGTCTCGGTTTGAGCCTGATAAAGTGGACTATGTGAATCATAGCTAATCAAACAGTAGGACAAGTGTATTTTTTACCCAATTTTGGCATCAACAAGAGGCCACATCAGTTGTCGATGCAGCAATAAAGCATTATTTAACGTTATTATAGTCTTGACAGAACAGTGCAAGTACCTCGTGCCAGGCTTCATCACCAAATTACATATAACTGCAGTAAATTGTACCTGCAGGGTGTTGTGTTTTCTACAGTGTGTTCCTTGATGAAAAGTTAAGTAGATAGCAGCTCTCATATACATAGGCAAAAACACAAGAAGAAGCAGTCTGCAGTTGCAAGCATGCACATCTAAACTATACACATGCAAGATGCACTCACATATACACTTGTAAACATGCACACAAGGAGACAAATACACACAGTTTTGGCAGTAGAGGAGAAGCCGAAAGACGCTGTGACTGACGCCGTCAGATTTCTTTTAGCTAGTCTGCTGTGAACCAGATGTCTTCTTCTGTTTTCTGTGTGTGTGTGTGTGTGTGTGTGTGTGTGTGTGTGTGTATGTGTGTCTTAT